GGCGCCTGTAGTCCCAGCTACTCGGGAGGCTGAGGCAAGAGAATCGCCTAAGCCCAAGAGCTGGAGGTTGCTGTGAGGTGTGACACTACAGCACTCTACCGAGGGTGACAAAGTGAAACTCTATCTCTAAAAAAAATTAAAAAATAAATAGAGCTCTGTCTGTCTGTCTCTGTCCCTCCTTGCTCCTTCTCCAGCCCCTCTCACATTGTCCCTATCCCTGCTCTATTCTGTGCCACAGTCCTGGCCATTTAACACACTGTGAATGATTGGTTCTTCCTTTGTTTTCCTGACTCCTGAGGTCTGGGAGGGTGGGGAGGATTTATATCTGCTTTCTCCCCGTCCCACATGCAGTACCCCCGCTACCTGCAGCACCCCCACCACCTGCAGCACTCCCCTCCCACCTGCAGCATCCCCACCTACCCAAAGCACCCCCCACGTGCAACACTCCCCTCCAACCTGCTGCACCCCCCTACCACCTGCAGGACCCCTCCCACCTGTAGCACCCCCGCCTACCTGCAGTACTCCCCCACCTGCAGCACCAACCCCCACACACACACACCCTGTACTGTAGCACCAGCCAGACCGCAGCTGGCACAGGGGAGGTGCAGGGAAATGTACCAATCCACCAATTAATAGAAGGGGCTGATCTCATAGTAAATAACCTAGAACCACTGAAAGAGGTGAGATGGAGCCACACACCAAGCAGCGAGGATAAGTCTCAGAAACTTAACAACCCAGGGACAGTAATAAGATAGAGAAAGAGGCAAACAGTGCCTATACCATTTGTATACATTACTAAACAGTGCTGTGTGCTGTTCTTGGACTCAAGGGGTGTGTGTGTGTGTGTGTGTACGCTCGCATCACCCAAGGCTGGGAACCGGGGTGGGGGTGGGGTGGGGTGGGGGGGTGGGATAAAGGGAGCCTTCAACTTCTTTCATAATGTTTTATTTCCTTTATTTTAAAAAAAAGCCTCCAAGGCCAGGTACAGTGGCTCACGCCTGTAATCCCAGCATACTGGGAGGCCGAGGCAGGTGGATCACTTGAGTTCAGGAGTTTGAGGTTGCTGTGAGCTATGATGTTACTGCACTCTAGCCTAAGCAACAGAGTAAGACTTTGTCTCAAAAAAAAAAAAGACCTCCAAGCAGCAGCCCAGGGCCGTGGATTGTGAATTCTGGGTGTTGGGTGCCCAGGGCTTATCTGCATTTCACTTTAAATTCCTGCTTAAGTGCAGGGCGGCACCTGTGGCTCAAGGAGTAGGGCTTTGGCTCCATATGCTGGAGGTGGTGGGTTCAAACCCAGCCCTGGCCAAAAACTGCAAAATAAATAAATAAAATAAAATGTAATTAAAAAAAAAAAATTCCTGCCCAAGTAGGATGCAGGGACCCACATAGTTGCAGCACTCTGTGGCTTGTTTTAAGGAAGGCTTTGCATGTGGAGGTGGGTTCTGGGGGGTCCCACACGGCTTTGGTAGGCCTTGTGTCCACCTGACCGTGTCTCACACCAGGACCTAGCAGCCGAGCTATACACACCACAATGTCTAATGGACAGCCCCAATTCTGTCCAACCTATCGCTGGTGTTAAGGCCTATGGGATCCTTTCACGAGAACCTTGGTGACCACAGACACCCCCAAGAAAGAGGACCTGCTTCCTTGGGCATCAGCATTGTTCACCTTCTTTGGACACACAACAGGACTGATAGAGATGAATGTAGGACCCACACAAATTGAACCGACCCACCCAAATAGAACTGTTCCACCCAGGAAAGAGTGAATGTACCAATCCCTACCCCACTGACTTTAAATTCCCATCCACCTTAACCCATGGGTGGACTTCCTTCTCAAACTCAGCTCACCCGCACCTGGGTGGAAATAAAGGCTGAGTTGCCCACATAGAACCTGGACTCCAATTTCCTTTCACTCACGTTTTGGAATAATCTTTTATTTTTGGCCTTTGATCTCTCGTTTTGGTGCTGAGAACCTGGGACAGGGAGAAGCCCCTTTGGCGGGTGCAGATATACCCTGTCAGACCCAGCTACACAGACTAATGGGAAATGGGGACCCCTGCGATCCCTGCCCAAAATTCATCAGTAATGATGGGTGCGGTGAGCATTTGTCCAGAACCCCTTTCTGAGCTTTTCAAGGTTTCCTTTCCTTTTCCCTCTCCCTCCCTCTCTGGGCATCTGAAGCAGTCCTTTACAGCCCCTCTCTGAGCTTCATTTAACTTCTCCTCCCTTTCTTCACTCTGGGCTGAAAAGTTCCAAGGGTCCATGCCGCCTCCCAGTCACAGACTAACCCCAGCAAGTCAGACTTGCCCGTCCAGTGCCTGGTGCATAGGGACGCCCTTCCCTTGGGCCTGCTCCACACTTTGCAAGCTGGTGAAAGGTCACACGCAGAGGCCTGGTAACCTCCCTGTCCCCAGCCTCAGCCATCTTATTCTTCCTCCACCTTGAAAGTTCTCCTTTATGTCCTCACTTTAACCTCATTTATTTTTTTACCTCCAGTTTCTGATATGGGGACCGCTCAATCACGGATTCCCCCTTCTTCACCTTTAAGCTGCCTTTTAACTCCCTGCAGGTCTCTACGGCTCTATCCTGACCTTAAACCTACAGGCCTCATCTTTTTCTGTAATACTGCTTGGCCTACGTACCAACTAGACAAAGACTCACAATGGCCTGAAAATGGCACCTTTGACCTCTCAATCCACACTGATCTCAATGATTACTGTTAAAGATCAGGCAAAAATGGTCAGAGACTCCCTTCACCCAGGCCTTCCTTCTCCAAAACATTCCTTATGTGAACCCTCTCAGTTTCCTTGTACAGGTCAAACCAGCTCCCCTTGACTATCTGAGTCTCCATTATCTTCTTTCCACCTGGCAGACACCCTCCCCCTTCTGCCCCTCCACAAGCCCTCCCTCCCTCAACCTCATTCCTACCTGCAGAATTCCACCCCTACCACCCCCACCAGCCTTCCATAGCACGTGGTAGAGAGAGAAGAGATGGCAGACCCAATTTCCCACCCCGTACCAGGTCTGGCCACACCTTTGGACCTACTTCCAGACCACCACAACCTCTATACCCAGTCCAAGAGGTTGCAGGAATGGAAGGTATCGTCCAGGTTCATGTCCCTTTTTCTCTCTCAGATCCAGCCCACATAAGTCAGAGACTAGGTTTGTTCTCTACAGATCCCACAGAACAGCCTCAGAATTTAGATATCTCACCCAATCATGTGATCTGACCTGGCAGGATTTATATGTTATCCTCACCTCCACCCTATTAACATGCATTTTATCTCTCAGTCTGCATCTGATATCTGAAAAAAATTCCAAAAATTCCCCCAGGGCCCTCAGACCCCTCCTGATAGCTGAAAAAAAC